TGATCCACACCTTTAATCCCTGCACTCAGAGGCAACTGACTCTAAGTGAGTTTGAAACCAGCCTGGTCTGCATAGTGAGTTCCAGGATAGCCAGGGCTACATAAAACCCTGTAAAGAAATATAAAGAGACAGGGCTGAAATGGAGTCACACCTTCTAATCCCTGCACAGCAGAAATATGGAAGGCAGAGGATCAAAAGTTCAAGAACAGCCTTGGCAACATACAAAGCTTGAAGCTAGCCTAGACTATTTGAATGAGACCTGCCTCAAAAAAAAGTATGGGAGAAGGGGGTGGAGTTAAAGCACAGGCTACTCAGTGACTACTATTAGAATAGAAGTCTACTCTGGAATAATTACTACTACTAGAATAACTAGAGTAACCAGAATGAGCCCATTTTAAAAGTACAAAAACAATATTGCTGAGTATTTAACTGCACTTATATAATAAATACACAAATAAAACACACATTAGCTAAATCCACATATTGTACAAAATTGTCACAGATACCTATAGTCAATTATTATATGTCTCATTGAGACATGGAAAAAATGAAATGAAATTTTTAATTAAAAAGAGTCCAAAGGCTAAAACCTTCCAAATGAAATTAAATTTAGAAAATACTTAAAGTAGGAAGTTTTAATCTTATTTCCTAGAATATTTCTTATTTAAAGGGATTTATCAAAGGTTTTAAAAAAAACTTCTATGCTTAAGATAATAAAAAGTAATTAATCTTACATGAACCCATTTGGCAACTTACTATGTAGACCAGGCTGGCCTGGAACTCACAGCTATTCATCTGCCTCTGCCTCCCAATTGCTGAGATTGAAGGTGTGGTGCTACTGTGCCTGGCTTTGATAACTATTTTTTAACTCTTACATCTGGTGTGTGTGTGTGTGTGTGTGTTTCCTTAAAATGTTGCTACACAGCATTTAGAAGGCAGAGGCAGAAGATTCTCTGTGACTTTAAGGCTATCTTGATCTACATAGGGAGCTCAAAGACAGCCAGGACTATATAAAGAGACCCTGACAAATACACAAACAATAAAATGTTGCTACAGTGATAATTTTAATGTTTGTTAATCCCTGAAAAAAATGGATATTCTGCCCAGATACTTTAAGATCTTCACCAATCTTAAAACTGCTGTATATTAGTATTTCAGTGTATATATAGTAATTCTGTGGTATACACGTGTAGTACAGATTAGGGATCATGGATTCTATTAGTGAGCACACTAACTTTTACCACACTTGGCACTCAGTTCTGTGACCCTTCCTCAGGATACAATCGTAATATTAAAGTCAACTTGGACTTTAAGTTGAGGATATCTTTGTACTTTGGTCCTACACAATGAAAGCCCAGGCTATTTGACTTTTTAACAAGTAAATCAGAGCCAGTCACAGTAGCTTAGCTACACTCAGTCACCTACTGTCAACTGCTCAGAACAGGCTCACCTAAAACAAGTGCTGAGCATAACCAAGCTGTGTCCACCTCTTACTTCTGTGATCTGTGAGCTGCTTGCCCACATTGTCCAGCGGGTCTCTCTGGGTACCTTCTGCTTTGAGCTGCCAATTCTATTAAACTCAAACTGTTTTGAGCTTTTATTTAGCAGCAGCATGGACAAGTTGGCTCAGCTCAGGGTTCTCAACAGTGATAGTCCTGGTATTTTAGAATGGTAATGTGTTCTGAGATGTTATCCTGTGCTGTAGACTGTCAGCCACATGAGCACCCTAGTCTCACTGATGGCAATAGCATCCCTCTCCCTTAGTTCATCTCAGGCACTGCCCGAGTCCCCAGGGTAAGGGGAATCACAGCAGGTCAAAACCAATAGTTCAGTGACACCACTTTAGCTTTTTGTTGTTTTTGTACTAAAGACTGAATCTAGGCAAGCACTCTCTCACTGAGCTATATCCCCAGCCCACATCATTTTTTAAGAATGTAAAACTTAGAGCAGATAAAAAACTAAGTGTATCAACAACGTCCATCTGACATCTATGTGTTCCTGACATGAATCTTTCTAATGACTATATGGTTACGACTGTTCTGGGATCTTATTGTTAAAATCTTTAATACATAAAAAAGCCAGGAGATCCTCAGAGTCTAATACTCTGCTACAGGTCAAAGCAGCCAATGAATTCCATAAGGTTCAATATCTGGTAAATACAGAAAGAAGACGAAACCATAATAGTTGTTCTCAGTTGCAACCAGAATTCTGAATTTTTCCTCCCCAGAGTCACATGACCATTGTTATTATGGCCCAAGGACAATCTTTAAGTCAAAGAACTTATATAAGAATATCCTTTTTACTGATTTTATATAAAAACACTTAAAATAGACATTTTATATGCTCATGAACAAGAAACTAATAAAAAAAATTATAGGGGTAAATGTTTGAAATTAATACCTGCTGGGCAGTGGTGGTGCACGCCTTTAATCCCAGCACTTGGGAGACAGAGGCAGGCGGATTTCTGAGTTTGAGGCCAGCCTGGTCTACAGAGTGAGTTCCAGGACAGCCAGGGCTACACAGAGAAACCCTGTCTCAAAAAAAAAAAAAAAAAGAAAGAAAAGAAAAGAAAGAAAAGAAAGAAAGAAATTAATACCTAATTACAGTGATCATATAGGGCAATAGTATGTCAATGGTCCCAATCGTGGCTATAACTTACAGAAAAATATATGACCCAATTTGCACAAATACATATTTGTACAAATAATTACCTGTACAGTTAGATGTTTATAATCTGACAAGGCCAACACCAAAAAACTGATGATCTCGATGTGTTGACAGGACTGTTTTACAGAATTTAGTTTTTAATTTTCTAAGTGAAAACAGCTTATGCAGAAACATTTTATTGTTTGTATAAACAGATCTATTTCACACAGAGATACCATAAAGGAAAAGCCGTGAAATCTACAGAACACTGAACAGTGGTAAAGGAAAGCCATGGGTTGAGAGAAGTGTCTCCAAGGTCATCGATTTCTGAGATCCAGTCCTACTGAGCCAGCTGGCCCCATCTATGATGTCACAGTGATCTGTGTCAACTGCTCTGTGAAGTGATAACCTCCTTGCTGACTGACCATTTGTTTCTAAAAATTTGAGCTATCACTTCTACTAATTAAAGCATAGAGATAAAGAATTTACAAGTTATAGCTTCCACCCCATCCGATAGAAAAGGATGAAAAGCAAGAGTTGTGAGAGTTTGTTGGTTTGTTTGGGGTGGGTTTGGGGTGGTTTAGTTTGGGGTTTTTGAGACAGATTCTCTCTACATAGAGCTGGCTATGCAGGAGTTGTTATAGACCAGGCTGACCTTGAACTCACACTGCTGGGATTAAAGTTGCCCAACTTCTTTTTCACTTTTTACATAAATGGCCTCTTTTTCCCTTCATATCAAGCTTAGTTAAGGTGCTATCATGAAAGACAGCAAAGCAATTGCAACCTCTCACAAAAACACTCTCCATGAACTTTAACCTAGTAAGCCACTGAATGCTTGTTAGGTACAACATGTGGACGGGCACCAAAGGAACATTCAGACAAGACAAACAGGCATACAGGGCAGGAGAAGAGAATACATAACTTGAGGTTGTTTTTCATGCACTTTGTTCTTTCGTCACACTGCTAGGAAGCAATGACAACTGAGGACAAAGTGAGTCCGGTCACATGTTGGAGAACAGCTGATAGTCTTTCCAGCATCAACACTAAACCATCACAGCCTCTGCTTTCTGTGCTATTACAGTGACCTGTGTATGACCTCTGGTTCCAACAGTGCCACTCTAACCTTGAAAGCCTTAACCTTACGAGTCTGGATAGCCTAGAGTTAATCTTTTATTCTGTCATAAGGGCTCTTACTTGTGCCCAGGTCTCTGGTGAACTCACAACTTTGTTTACCCATAGTTCTCAGCTTCAGTGTTAGAATCTTAGTTATATCGAGGCATATCAGTACAAAAAAACCCTCGATTTTCCTTTTTAAAAAATTCTTTTCAATTAAATGTTCTATCTGCTGACTCACAGCTCTGATGGCTAGCTAGAGAGTAAAAAAAAAAAAAAGCCTGTCAGATTATGCCACATGCTACCCTTGACTTTTGCCTTCTGTGACAAAAGTATATCATCATCTGGACTGGTGAACTGATGGATTCATTAGGTGAGACGACATTATCAGGAGATCACACACACAAGGAGGTGAGCCTAGTGAGACAAAGTAGAATCTGTCTTGGAAGAGTAGGTCTTATCCCTGATTCCTCTCTCTGCCTCCCAGAGAGAGCAGCTTTGCTCTGCCAAGTCCACTTCCCACATGAGTTTCCGCCTCAACACAGGCCACAGCGATGGAAGCATCATGCACACCTGAAACATCTGTAACTGTGAGCCAAAAGAAATCTTTCCTTGTTTCAGGTTGTTTTTTGAATTTTGTCACACAGATGAAAAGTGAGTAACAGAATGAAAAGCAAATAAATGCTCTAGAAGTTACAGTCAAGGACAGGCAGGTTTTGAATTGCAATTTCACTGTGTGATCCTCACAGCAAGGCACTTTTTTTTCTTTCTAGGACTCATTCATTCCAACTATAGTCTAGGGTTTTAACTAAATCTATGACTTTCAGTTCTAAGAATGTTTGAAACTGAGTCTTCTGTTAAAATTGGGAAGAACCATGGGCACGGGTTCTCCAGCAAGAATATACACGTGTCTGTGTCATCACAAGCCCTAGTTGGCTCAGGACACAAAACTGGCTACCTAGCCCTTGAGAGTCAAAGATCAAGGTCAAGCGAGGTTTTAACAGCCCCCAAAAGACTGCTGCATAAACCTCCTGAGTGTTCTCTAGCCTAAGTTAGGATTCTTGTAGTAATTCTCTAAGTAGGATTCTCCAATGGGAAAAGAAAGCTGTGTTCTTAGACATCAGAGACCTTAGTCAGGACCCCTCAGGTTTCAGAGTGGAGCCCAGGGGGCGCCAGCGCCTTGCCCCACATCACACAGCAGCGAGGGCAGAAGCAGCAGCGAAGCCGGAGGGCCCAGTTACCTGAGTCGGTCACCCCAGTGTGCATCAATCTGACCTCCAGCCGCTGCTGGTCCCCGCCCGGCCTGCCCCGCAGCACCTGCCGCAGGAGCAGCCGCATGCGCCGCGAGGCCACGTCGCCGAGGCTGCCCGGGGCTCCAAGGAGGAGGAGGCGTGACTGCATGGTGTAGGAGACACGGCGTGGGACCTCCAGGGGCTGCTGGGCCAAGCACCGTCCCGGGACCGGGAAGGAGGCGGTCTGCGAGCGGGACAGGAAGCGACTGGGAGGCGGGTCCGCCGGAAACTCCTTCCCCCGGCTCGCCGGGCTCGGCCGTGTGTGCCCGGGCCGGGGCGGAGGGCAGGCCAAGCGCCAGCCGGTAAGATCGGCTACCCGGGCCCAGAGCGCCGCCCCAGGCGTGGTCACCCCAGGGACGCCCCGAGCTGGGGAGATGCCAAAAACCTTTAGCACAGTTGAGCACTGGCCTTGTTTCTTTCTTGGCTGCTAGCCCACTGTGTTATGATGCACTGTGGGCTTTCCCCTCAATACTGCTTCAGATCTTTTTTCAGAATTGAGAAAATATAGGACAGAGATTCTGGAACTCCACCTATTTTAATTCTTTGTCATCTTCCCAGGGTTTCCACACAACAGGCATGGAAAGCCTCTGTTTAGCCTTCCTTTGTCGCTCCTATTTTATCATCTTCTAAACTGTAAGAGGAAATTTTACTTTCTAATAGGTGAATGAAAAAACGTTCAACTACCAGAAGGATCCAGTCAGGCAACGTGGCAAGGGTTATATAAACATAATTTATGTCTTTAGTGAGCAAAAAGTAGGACACTTGTCTAAGGCTCCCTCCCTTCCATGCATTCCAAAAGCAGCAGCAGTCGTCCATAAAGCAAACAAAGCCTAACGTAATTATGCTGCCTCCCCCAAATGTCAAGAGTGAATTAACCAAAGCAAAAAGTTTAAATGAAGTTCTGCACAATGAAATCAAACAAACAGAATACAGGCCTGGCTCTCAGGGAATGGCCTTGCCGATTCTAGACCTACCATTATCTTACATTGATATTAACACCCACCTCCCAATCCCTTACTGAGGAACTTGACCTTAGAAGTAAATGGAGGCGGGGGTGGGGGGGGGGGGGATAATCTAATCTAGTTTGGAGAAAGTGAAAATAAAGGTAGTGAATATTGAAGTTGTCAAACCTGCATGGATACAGTCTCACTATTTCACAACCATCTCTGTTAGGTCTCAAACCAGGGACAAACTCTATCTGAGATGCCAGTTAAAAGATAAAAGCTAACTGAGGTGCCTATTAACAACTCAAGCTGGCTCTGGCTGCCTGTCCTCCTACCATCCTTCCCTTCCTCCATATTACTGGATCCTCCTGATGGAGGTGCTCAGCCCCCTACCCTGAACTCTCCAGCACAGAGGCTGTGATCCTTTCCCCCACCTACAGGTCCCTGTAACATCCAGCTGTTTTGACTACTCTGGTGCACTTTTGGTTTCCTGGTCTCCTGGCTTCTAGGCTCCTGGCTCTCTCCTCTCCCAGTTCCCCTCTGCACAAACACAAACACACACACACACAACACACACACACACACACACCAATCAGCCAGACATGTCCACTATGGACCCTGCCAGGTGCCTCTCCCTCTGACAGATGTCTCCCTCACATCTACAATACACCTTTTCCTCCATCATGCCCAGGAGCAATCATGTCCTCCTTTTATTTCCTTTTCTCTTTGTCTTTCTATGTTTTTCCTTCAATCCCTGTGTGACTTGGGAAAATGGCAAGCATGTAAGCAGCATAGAAACTTACAAATTTCTTCTGAAAATTTCTCTTGATGGTCGCTCTATGTTGGAGAACCTGAACTCTGATAGCAGTGGAATATGTTACTCGAGAGCAAGGAGTGGGGATGGGCAAGCCAGAGTAAGGCTGTTTCCTGCCAACTCTCTTTCTAAATCTCCTCGGAAAGGTACTGTACATGCAGGGTGGGAGAGTCTTCCCCTTTTAATTACTCCTTCCTTGAAATGTCCTCAAGACAGCCAGAGGCTTGTCACTTAGTCAAGTCCAGACCCAACGGACTTGGGCTTCACAGGAGTCCTCCACCCCTTCACCACCAGCAGGGAATGCTGTAGCACCCAGCCCTGTGGACTGTGCAGCTACCAGATTCTCCACCTCCCTAATGCACAGACAACAACTATTAGATTTCCCAACTCCTGTTGTGCAAACTAAACACCTTCTTAAACACGTGTTCATTCATTTCATCCTGGTCTGGAGGAACTTGACTAATGCAGGGCACGTACTCTAAGTCGTGAAACTGTGCTCAACATCTTAATTGACTATCTGCTTTACACAATTCACAAATAGGAGGTTCTCTGACCTAATTGTTTCAGTTAGGGTCACTGTTACTCTCACAGAACACCATCTCCAGAAGCAAGTTTGTGGTGTGATGTCGGGGAGGGTTTATTTCAGCTTATACTTCCAGGTAACTGTCATGAATCACTGAGGGAAGTCAGGACAGGAACTCAAACAGGACAGGAACCCAGAGGCTGGAGCTGATTCAGAGGCCATGGTGTTGCTTACTCATTTCCTTCCTGTGACTTCCTCAACCTGCTTTCTTACAAAACCCAGGACCACCAACCCAGGGGTGGCCTCGCACATGTGGGCCTCACACATCAATCACTAATTAAGAAGATGCCCCACAGGCTTGTACAGCATGAGATTATGGGAGTATGTTCTCCATCGAGATAGAGTCCCTCCTCTAACATGACTATACCTTGTGTCAAATTGACACAAAACTATCCAGCACACCTACATTTTAGAGATGAAGAAACTGAGGCTCTGTTAGATACCATAGTCAAGGCATCCTGATTTTACTTCAGTAGAGCTCAGTAAACACCTGGAGAAAAATGTAAGAAAAATCCAAGGTATTTTAACAAAATAAATGATCTAAGTGCTCTCAGAGTTGAGACAATGAAGACACTGAGACACTGTAGCATACTCAGCCGTTTACTGAGAGACAATGGGATCACAGCAAATACAGAAAGCAGACATAGCAACAGGTGTACAAAGACTGATGTATGCAAGATGCAGGCTCAAGGCTCTCAAACAATGCTACACAGAGGAAAGGACAGTGAGGTTTCACTGAGAATGTAATGTTTGAACTTGATCTTCTTGGATATGCATGAGTAGATCCATCTGTCTTATCAGAATATTCAGTTAGAGAATTCATTCCAGGTTATTTATATAAAAACACAAAAGACATACTATATACTAAAGCTGAATTTTAAGAACATACTGAGGATCTATGAAATAGCTTCATAGGTAAACACACTTGGTGTCAGTCATAGTATACACACACATACACACAGTCACAAACAAAGCAATAAAATATAATTTTAAAAAACACTGAAACCAAGGCACCATGTCAGTTTACACGAAGTTGTGATGTATATGGTAACAGAAAAAGTCTTATGAGTTAAGAGAAAATTGTTCTGATGTAGAAAGTGAATTGGAAGCATGATTTCAACATTGTTTGAACCACACAGATTGATCCCTATATTAGATATTGCTAAAAGGTATATATTGTTATCATCATTATTATTTATTTACATATTACAGTTTATTGAGATCAGATTTCTCTGTAAAATATTCTTAGTGATCTTGGAACTCACATTGTAGACCAGGCTAATTTTAAACTCACAGAGGACCTCCTGCTCCTATCTCCTAAGTTCTAGAATTAAAGTTGTGCACTAACAATCCCAGGTTAAAAACTATTTCCATCTATTTTCTTATATTTTGTATATAGACAAACATATTTTTGTGGAAAACAAATTATATGTATGTGTGTGTGTGTGTGTGTGTGTGTGTATCCTGTTGTCAAAATGAACAGCTTCTGTAATGGCCCGAGCTGCTCTCCAGTCCACGGGTGAGGGTCTAGCAAGAGAGAGAGTGGGGATAGAGGGGGAAGAGACACGAAGAACGGAGACAAGACAGAGGGTCTGATCAAGTCTCATTTATTGAAAGGAAATACTGGGTATTTATACACTTTTCCACATGTCTTGCAGCCATAGACAAGCAGGGGAATACAGCTGAAGGCACTTTACCATGTGCCTTGAAGCTGTGGATACCACGTGCACCTTGCAGCTGGAGGCACTAAACAGCAAAACAAGATATGTGAGAAAAACCAGATGTTTATCAGTGTGTGCTCAGCTGTTGTGGGCTGTTGAAAAACAAGTCTCTTGTAAGGGTATATGGCCTGAGATGGCTGCAAAGATGATAGCCACTTTCTGCTAGGAGTCGGTTCCCAACAGGTCCCCCTTTTTAAATATTTTTCAAAAGGGAAGACTGGGAAAACTTATGGAAACCGTGCCTGTCTTAGGTCGGAACAAAGGACCGCAGCCTCCCTTTCCCATCTTTGGATACTCAACAGCCATTGGTTGAACTCCTGTCTTAGGATGGTGAGGCCTCCCAGATAGGGGCAAGGGTCTTGAGGTATTCTCTTACCTGTCATTGACTATCTGGCTTAGCGCGTAAGTTAGGGGTTAATCCTCGTCAGTCTTGATGACAGAGGTTTAGAGTCCCCTACACTTCCAGCCTGTAATAACGGGCCTGTATGGGTTTCATTTGAATAGCGTCTAACTGTTGTCATACAAAAGCCATCAGTCTGTTGAACAGCATGAACCTGAGAGACAAGAGACTTAACACTGCCTGAATGGTTGGTATAAAAGCAACACTCTTTTTTAAGGGTAGCACACACTCCCTCTGTTGGAGAAGTAAAAAGTATAAGTCTCTTCTATCTGTAGTACTATTTCAGCTAAGGAGGATAATGAATTTTATCAGATTCCATTCTTTCCAAATTTAAATCTATAGAAGTACAGAACTGATCATAGCTTTGATCTTAACAAAACAAGTAAGGAAATCCCCATCCCTGCCCTAGTCAATCTCAAACCCAAAAAGACAGCTATAGTAACTGTGGTAATGGTTTTTTTCTCCTGGGTCTAAACAATGTACCTCCACTAAATAATAAGTCAGGGAATCAAGAGTCCAATAGAGCCACCCTGGAGGAGCAGTGGTGATGTTTCCCTCTGCATTGAGAACTTCCCAAGTCAGATTTGCTGGTTGATCTGTTCCAGTTTGAAGGCAATTGTGAAGCATCGTTATGTTTCCTGCAATGAAAAAATATGCTTCTCAGGGGGTTTCTCCTCCCTGGATTTGTTATTGTTGTCTATTTGTTTGATCAGTCTCTCTGGCAGCCAGCGTGCGGCATCTGCCATTTGAGAATATATGCAGAGAGAAACTCTTCCCC